TATATATTTATATATTGTGAAAGGAGTTGCTTATGACTCCCTACATGTTGAAGTAAAAAAAAACTAGTACAGACATCAGAGAGGGGGCTGGGGACTTCACTATTTGGTTCAATACAGGAACCTAGGAAATCCCCCAAAAAAGCTAGGTGTCACCCTCAAAAAAGAAAAAAAACTACAATGACTCAACATAAGGAAATAAGTGTGAGATTGCATCTGCCCCCACATTAATCATTTATCTTTATAGACCATTCTGATGTGAGGAACATTTAGAATATCTCCTTGCAGCAGATAAAGGAGAGCAGGTGGAGGGTTGACAGCAACTTCAGTCTCATTAGAGTGTGATCCAAGTTGGGCCAACCAGTTTGCAGGCTGGTTTCCTTCCCTATAAATGAAAGTAAACTGAATTTGTGTCTTACTAGTGAGATTTCTGATTTTGCTTATCTCATTGATATTTCTACTGACTCCCATTGGACAAAAGCAAGTTATGCTGGAGTGGTTGGAAAATCAACTGACTCTTTAAGAATTAGCCTTAGTGGCAAGTTTGATTGCCTAATACACAACAATGAGTTCAGTTTCAGTGGCATCAGTGGCCAGGACTGGGGTATAAAAGTATTGCAAGCACTTACCCAAATGATTTATGTAGATACCTCCCACACCAGCTCCATTTTTAGTAAAGCTTCCATCAGTGTTAAACTTCACAATAGGATGATTTGGGGTTCTCCAGTAGACTCTAATGACTTGAATAAGATCAGACTTAATAGATGTACAAGAGTTAGAAATGTTAGGAAATCCTTTCCAATTAATCATCTTTTGCAAATAGGTTACACAATTTCTAGCAGTAATCCCCACATTTGGATTTGCTTCTTCAAATTTGACCTTGTTTGTTTCCATCCAGATGAACCAAGCAATGGTGAAAGGGATAGCAGCATACTTTCTTATCTTCCAGTGCCACCAGTAATTGACCAGCCTATCCCAAGTGAGCTCTTTCTGATCAATTGTGAACTGATTTAGGAACTGTTTCCATACCTGTTGAGCGAAGTCACATTCAAAGAATAAATGATTCAGAGTTTCCTCTTCCTTCTTACATAACCAGCATTTAGAGGGACCCCTCAATCCCTTCAGCTTTAGAATGTCATCAGTAGGGATCATTTTATGGAATATTCTCCAACA